AGTATGCAGCCATTTTCTGGATTGGGTTCCCCATCTAAGTTAATTCACCTACTCAGGTGACCTGATATAGATGGGGTCCACCATTTTTGGTCCAGTTTAAAATACTTGAATATCTGTACAAACTGTCATTTATATCAACCTAATGCTAGTTTGGTCAATCTAAATATAATGTCTGCATATACCCATATGTAATTTTTGATAAATATAAATGTAAGATGATTTAAAATATATCAAATTATTAATAAAATATAATAAAAGTCAACCCTGAGACCAAAATGTTAGAGGTATGACTTTTGCTATCCCTATGAAAATGCTCCCAAATTTGTCTAAATTATAAACTGCTGAAAAATGCCGCATGCAAGTTATACACTTGCTAGACTTGAAGATACATTCTCTGAAGATTATATTTCAGATGAGCATGCTCCATTGGCTTATAGCCCTGAAATTCTGACCAGCCTGTACAAGTGCTATCCACAAAGATCCATTTAATATAATCTATCCATTGGTTGCGGTAGCTTAGCAGGATATTCTGTTGTGTTGCCAGGCACTGGAATTGAGAACAAGGACCCTGTCTCTCTTCTGCTGTCAATATTCCTGTTTCTGTTACTCAGATGCAGTAGCAGCAGCAACATTCACAGGAGAATATTGAGGTGTGAATAATTGTTCATGTGTATGGTAGAGAGGAACAACAAGAGAAGCAATTTCAGAAATCAAAATATGAGGAAATAGAAAAGGTTGGGATAGAGCCAACAGGAGATTGGATAGGAGGCAGAAATAGTCTTAAGTTGGGCATCTACAGTTAGTATCCACTTTTGGCAATTTTGGCCTTTTTCTGTTGGTGCCTTAGTTCCTCAGCTTTAAAAAGGGGATAATATTACCTTACAGCATAAGACTGTTAGTAAAATAAACTGATGTTAATGAAAGAGTCTCTAATGGTGAGAAATAGAAATGTCCCAGGTGAAAATTAATCATTTTGTATCCATTGTAAGGTTTGAATGATAAATGCTAAATAAAACATGGGGACAAACACAAAAACATGTAGAGTGATAGAATTTCTGTGAGAAAACAAATATATGATCCTGTAATTGAAGACATAAAGGCTGTGTCCACATGAGCGTGGACATTTGGCTCCCCAGGGACAACTGGCAGCAGGACACCTTTTGCCAACCACCCTCTGTAACCTTACCTGGGTTCCTGGGGGCCTCCTGGGACTGCAGCAGTGACAATCCTGCCACTCAGAGCCTGGCCAGCAGCCAAAGCATGGCTCTAGACAGCCAGATTCCAGTTTTGAGTGTGTGCCACTTCATTTTTTTGCCCAGGGTCAGAAAGAAAACCCTGAGCTGCTCCCATGCAGCACAGAGAACAGCTTGAACATGAGGATATATCTGCAGCACCACATACCACACAGCTGCA